ACTTGGAGAAACCTATTCATCCATCCAAATCCATAGATTTATTATGCAAGGAATGAAGGCCCTCTCTTTGGGTGATTAGCCTTTGCTTATGCAAAGAGGAATCTACAAAGGTACAATTTCAACTCACTTTGTTTTGAGTTGAGTTTTGGTTCACCAATCTACTAGGCTTTGAATTTCATGGTTAATGTTTTGTTTTTAAGTACATGCTAGCATGATTCCGCCTTTAATTGTTAATTGCATGCTTATTGATGTTGCTTAAATGAACATGTTTTCACAAAATAATCCTTCAAACGGTAGCCAATCATCAAGACAATTAGATAGTTTAAACCAGTGATTAATAATTCAAAACATGCATGCATAATATCATAAGTAAATAGAAAAGAAACTACATATTCTTGCTAAGGCTCATGGCCTCGCCCTAGCAAAATAAATTAGCTACGAACCGTCATAAAACAAAATATTATTGAGAATAAGGATAGAAAACACCTAGAAAATAAACTTAAATTGTCAAAGGCTTGTGCGTCTCCTCCTCTCTCCTCCCTAATGGCTAAAAAACCTTATTTATACTACTACAAAATAAAATCCTTACTAGAAAAGGTCTTAGAATAATACTAGGAAACATAATAAAACAGAAAATAAAAGGTTTCCTATTTAAACTAAAATTCAGACTTCTTAGAAAATCCATCTTTTGACCGACCAAATCAACTCCGATTTGGTCCCAAAATATCTCTTTTTAAAGCTGAAGATGTCCTCTACAAATCTTCAGGAGTAATCTTCCTTAAAATATATAATATTGACCTTCAAAATACCGAAAACGTCCAGAAACATCAATCTGGGAAAGCTGCGCGCTGGGTCTTTATTTAATTGCCACAATCAAACGGCTTGGTAGAAAAATCTGAAATTTTGATACAATCATCTTGAAAGACTCACGAACATCCTCCAATTAGAATTACTCCAAAATTCATCCGTTTAATCACTTTTTGCTCCATAGGAAGCCGAATGTCTTACATTGAAAATATATAACAAAGTATCAAATTCTACCAAAATAACCAATTAATTATAACTAAGAATAGGGTAAAATATATGGTATAATATGAACTCATCAGGCAACCTTGTATATCGCAGCAAATCCCATTTTCCACTAACGTATATTGAGATAGATTGTCATATAGTTCGAGAAAAATTTAAAGTCGGTATGATTTGTCCTATGTATGTGCCTACACTTTTTCGTTCCTTACTGTAAAAACCAACTGCCACCAGCAGATTTCTGTTGTGTGAAAGTACAATTATTATGAACAAGTAAACTGCTATATATGGATTAGGCTTGGTCAAATTTGAGAGGTTACAGAGACAGCTCTGGTGCTCATGTTTTGGGGAAGTTTTTGAGTATTTAACACAAGCCACGACATCATCACTCCACGTGTTGAAACAAATTCTCGTGTTACAATTCGAGTGAAATAGGAATGTCAAGTAGATGTATTTTTTGCCTCGATGCCAAAACGTGGAGCAAGGCAGAAGATACAAATTAGTCGCAGATATTTCTGTTTTGGATTGGGTTTTCTGTTTTAATGTTATATATGTGCTTGAGTTTGAGTACCAATGAAGTAGGCCCTGAGCCCAATCATCCAAACACCCTACCAAAAATACCCCCATTTTTAGAGAGCTGCTAGACTCATCCTGTTGTCTTATTTATCCACTCACGTTATATTTACATCCATTATAAAAAAAATTAAAATGTTATTTTCCAACCCACTATTATTCCTAAAATAATCCTATATATAATTAGAGATAAATTTCTCTTAAAAAAAAAGAATATAAACAAATAATATTACTCTCTTCTAAAAGCTAGAAAAAAAAAAGAAAAAAGGTTTCCTTCCCAAATTCCAATGTGGGAATGAAGAATTCTGGGTTTTCATTCTTTGCTTTTCCCCTTTTGTTTCTTTTTTTTATATGCATTTTTCATTTTTGCCACATATGTTGGAGATTCTCTTACTTTGTTGCACATTTTTACTTTCTGTGTTCGTTCTAGTTTTGTAAGTTATTGGTTAATTTGTGCCAGATTATTTATTTTTGTTATTGATGAGCTATTTTTCTTGGTATGAGCAATGGTCAATTGGATCTAATAGAAGAGCACGAATTACAGGTCAATGCCTTTTTGTATTATCATACACTCATTAAAAAAAAACAAATTTACTGTATGATAGCAGTATGCAACAAGTGAAACTTACTTCGACTTCAATTCTAACTTAACACCTGCGGATTCCAAAGGAAAACTCATTAAAAAACAAATTTACCCTAACCTAATGAAAACGAATTCCAGGAATTCTCATCGGAAAACGTAAAACAAATTGCACCCTAACCTAATGCAAATTCAAATAAAAAGTCACAGAGCTATGTTTCAATTGTACAATGTCGACAAATCAACATGACTCACATAAAATTATCTTTTACCTCTTTAACGGAAACATAATCATCTACTTCTTTCATAGAAATGTCATCTTCTAAGTTCATTTTTTTTGCTTTTGCTGAATGATTTTGCTTTCTCTGAATGAAAGGAGATGGGAATGATGAGTTAGGATTTAAAGGAGACAAATTTTCTAAACACAGTGTGAGAGTTATCATGCCCAAACTTTTCTTTTTTTTCTTTTCTTTTTTTTTTATTATAAAAAACAAAGTAATGCAAAAGGGGGTAACTAATGTTCTTATTAATCATTTTACAAATGGACACATTTGTAATAAAAAAAAATTCATAAAAAGATGGGTGGTAATATAAGACATTAGGGTGGGAATAACACCTCTCCATTTTTATTGTTTTCCTACAAGTCTCTTTCTTGCGTGAGCTATGTATAAAACCCTAATCAACCTTGCACAACAAGTCTACATGTAAAACCTAATCAACCCTGCACAACAAGTCTCTTTCTTGCGTGAACTACATATAAAACCCTAATCAACCGTGCACAACAAGTCTCTTTCTTGCTGTGGGCTACCTAAAACCATGGTCTAAAATATCCATAATATCTCGATATTTCCATCGAAATTTCCGTGTTTTTGGACTACCGATATTTTTTTGGACTACTGATATTTTCGATATTATCGATATTTTAGACATTGCTAAGTCACTCATGTATCTTACCATGCAATGTGTAAAGTGTAAAATATTGTACTAATTCATTATATATAAATGATTATGGTGTTTAAACTTATTTCATTAATTACTACATATTTTCTACACTCATAATGTTTGCCAGCTCGCTATATAATCAACTTAAATCAGTTATATCTATCATGCAATGCATTTCCTTCCAATTTTTTGTGATAAACTAATAGATAATTGACTAAATAAATATCCTGCAAAGTTTCAATAAAAATTTCCAAGTTTTTCTTACAATTTCCGTGGTTTTTATTTAATTTTTATCGATATCGATAATATTCCGATATTTCCATCGAAATTTCCGTGTTTTTGGACTACCAATATTTCCGATATCATCGATATTTTATACCTTGCCTAAAACCCTAATCAACCCTGCACAAGTCATTCTTTTTATAGCAGAGCTACGTGCTTTTTCGATTTAAGATTTAAAACCTTCTTCACGTCGACCAGTCCGTCTGACTGATCCAAAATCGAATCGATTTTTTGCAGTTTGGTCCTCAAAATCTCTCTCAGTTTTCCATGGAGGTTCCCATGGAACGAGTCGGCCGCTGTGTTACTCCATTGGACATTTTACGCCACCCGAGGGAAGAGGTAACGAAATTGACCAAATCATTCGACAAGGATCAAAACTTGGGACTCAATTTCTAGAATTTACCTTCTTTTTTTATACGATTTATCAGGATGACTAAGTTACTCGATCAGGAAATTGAAGAGGATTTGATCTAATATGAATTATTGTATATATATTAGGAGCCCTATATTTGGTAGGAGTCAGATTTGTATTTATTCTTTCCCTGTGAGAACATGCACATATATATACACACACAATATATATCTATATATTTACATTTATATTGTAATCCTAACGATCAATACGTATGAAACTTCAGCCATTCGCCTTCTACTATTATGGCGGGTGATGATGGAGAATTGCCGATCTTGTCATCCAACAACGATGATATAATCGTCGAGATACTTTCATGGCTACCAGTTGCATCTCTCCTCCGATTCTGTTGTGTATGCAAGTCATGGCGCGCCTTAATCACTACTCCCTGGTTCATGGCCAAGCACTGAGCACATACCAACGCCAATAAAAAGAATGTCATGATTCTCGCGAAACACCGCTTTAATCCTCAACTGGACTGGCCGCCACCACCCCCCTCTGGATCTCCCCTACTCATTGACTACCAATCACTAAAGAAGAATGATGCCGCTTGTGCCTTTGCCTCTTCTCCCCTCTGGATCTCCCCTACTCATTGACTATTCCAGATGATACTAGCCTCAACGATTCATCACTTGTGGGTTCTTGCAATGGTCTCATCTACTATGAAAATATAAGACTTCTCTTGTGGAACCCTAGTACCAGAACAGCTCGTAAGTTACCGGACATTGATTGATTTTGTTGTAGACCACTTTATTATGGATTCGCCTACGATTCCACCACTCAAGACTACAAGGTCCTTTTGGGCGGTAAAAATCTCGAAGATGGATTTGTTGCAATCTTCGCACTCAAAGAAGGTTCATGGAAGATTGTTGGAGGAGACCCCCTCGAGGTTGCGGCCCCATTATATATTGATGGGTGAGGGTGCTTCTTAAATGGAGTTCTCCTTTGATTTCACACATGAGCAATTTCATTCGTTTTCCTCTATTAGGCATAAAGGATGAAATTGGGCGAAAGTGGGGACAATTGGAAATCGTCTCTTCTTTCACACTTTCTGCCATGCTTCCACAGTTACTCTTCCTGACTTTAAGGACACTGGCCTTACCATATGGGTGATGATGGAATATGGGGTCGATCAATCTTGGACTATTTTCGCAAAAATTCACACGAAGATTTACCCTCCTAATGTGCTGCATATACTGTGGAAGCATGGCAGAAAGTGTGAAAGAAGAGACGATTTCCAATCGTCCCTACTTTCGCCTAATTACATCCTTTATGCCTAATAAAGGAAAACGAATGAAATTTCTCATGTGCGAAATCAAAGGACCTGATTATTGTTTTCCCCTTAGACTATATCTGATTCCAAAGTAGAGCTCCATTTAAGAAGCACCCTGGCCCATCAATACCTAACGAGATCGTAGGCTTGAGAGAGTCTACAACAATCTTCCATGAACCCGCTTTGAGTGAGAAGATTGCAGCAAATCCATCTTTGGCACTTTTACCGCCCAAAAGGACCTTGTAGTCTTGAGTGGTGGAATCATAGCCGAATCCGTAATAACATGGTCTGAAACAAAACCAATCAATGTCCGGTAACTTACGGGTTGTTCTGGTACTAGGTTCCACAAGAGAAGTCTTATATTTTCATAGTATTCTTCATAGTATTCAAGTGGAGGGTTAAGTAGTAGGCAGATGAGACCATTGCAAGAACCCACAAGTGATGAATTGTTGAGGCTAGTATCATCTGGAATTTCAGCTTCAATGTCTCTATGGTTGCTTCGTATCGCTGATGAAGAGGCAGAGGCGCAGGCATCAACATTCTTCTTCAGTGATTGGTAGTAAATCAGTAAGGGGGATACAGAGTGGGGTTGTGGCCAGGGTGGTGGCGGCCAGGACGGTTTCGTGAGAATCAGGACATTCTCGTTGTTGTCGTTGGTATGTGCTCGGTGCTTGGCCACGAACTGGGGAGTAGTGATTAAGGCACGCCATGCCTTGCATACACAACGAAATCGAAGGAGAGATACGAATGGTAGCCATGAAAGTATCTCAATGATTATATCGTCGTTGTTGGAGGACAAGATCGCCAATTCTCCATCACCCGCCATAATAATAGAAAGCGAATGGCTGAAGTTTCGTACGTATTGATCGTTAAGGTTACAATATAAGTGTAAACAGAGTGGGGTGGTGGCGGCTAGTACGGTTTCGTGAGAATCAGGACATTCTTGTTCTTGTCGTTGGTATGTGCTCGGTGCTTGGCCACAAACTAGGGAGTAGTGATTAAGGCGCACCATGACTTGCATACACAACGGAATCGGAAGAGAGATACGACCGGTAGCCATGAAAGTATCTCGACGATTATATCGTCGTTGTTGGAGGACAAGATCGGCAATTCTCCATCACCCGCCATAATAGTAGAAAGCGAACGGCTGAAGTTTCGTACGTATTGATCGTTAGGGTTACAAAATAAATGTAAATATATAGATATAGATATATATTGTGTGTATATATGTGTGCCTGTTCTCAAATAAATACAAATCCGACTCCTACCAAAGATAGGGCTCCTAATATATATACAATAACTTATATTAGACCAAATATCAAATATAATTACTTTTTTACCTCTTGAGAGCCTCCAGATTCCAGAACATCTCATCCTCTTCAATTTCCTAATCGAGTAACTTAGTCATCCTGATAAATCATATGAAAAAAGAAGGTAATCTCAGAAATTGAGTCCCAAGTTTTGATCATTGTGGAATGATTCGGTCAATTTCGTTACCTCTTTCCTTGGGTGGCGCGAGATGTCCGATCGAGAAACACAATGGCTAGCTCGTCCTTGGGGACCTCCATGGAAAACTGAGAGAGATTTTGAGGACCAAACTGCAAAAATTCGATTCGATTTTGGATCAGCCGGACTGACTGGTCGACGAGAAGAAGGTTTTAAATCTCAAGTCGAAAAAAGCACGTAGCTTTGCTATAAAAAGAATGACTTGTGCAGGTTGATTAGGGTTTTAGGTAGCCCACGGCAAGAAACAGACTTGTTGTGAAGGGTTGATTAGGTAGCTCTCGCAAGAAAGAGACTTGTAGGAAAACAATAAAAATGGGGGTGTATTTTGGCAATTAGTAGGTGTTTGGACAATTGGGCTCAAGGCCTATGTCATTTGTATTCAGACTCAAGCACATATATAACATTAAAATATAAAGCCCAATCCAAAACAAAAATATATGCGATTAATTTGTATCTTCTGCCTTGCTCCACGTTTTGGTATCGAGGCAAAAGATACATCTGCTTGACATTCCTATTTTACTCGAATTGTAACACGAGAATTTGTTTCAACACGTGGAGTGATGCCATGGCTTGTGTTAAATACTCAAAAACTTCCCCAAAACATGAGCACCAGAGCCGTCTATGTAACCTCTCAAATTTGACGAAGCCTAAAACCATATATAGCAGTTTACTTGTTCATACTAATTGTACTTTCACATAACAGAAATCTGCTAGTGGCAGTTGGTTTTTACAGTAAAGAATGAATCTTCAAGGAAGAATGAAAAAAACTGAATTACCGACCTCCATGTGTTGCAGCAGCGAGAGGTCGAACAGCAGCTGAAGGATCCTGTTGGAATTTATTAGGTTTATTTACGAAATTAATTAGAGATTTGATTTGATTTTGTAGTAGGGTATTTTGGCATTTATGCATTAGGGTTCTTAAGTTTATTCACTATAAATAGAGCTTGTAATTTAGTTTGAGAACAAGTTATTCAAGATGGAGTCTATTCGAGTTATGTAGCTGTCTCGGTATTTTCGATTATAAAAAAGTATTCTTCTTAGTTTTATATTGTTGGTCTTTCAACTTTGTGTCAGAGCATATTTAATCCTTTAGGGTTGAATCTGTTCTTAGTAGCCAGTTTGTTCGTCTTGTCACGTCCTTTTCTTCGTATCAGTTTGTGTGTTAGTTTGCTCGGTATCTGTTTTGTTAAGGTTCTGTTTTTTTTTTTTTTAAAATTTTAGTCTGTTTGCCCCAGCCTGCTAGTGCCATCGTATCATCCGCACCGCACCGCCGCCGTTACTCCGCCACACCTCTGCACCTCAAGACTGCCGCTGCCTGACCCGTGTGTGTCCAGATTCGACTGAGACCTTGACCAACCACCATCTCGCGCCTGTCTTGAACCTCTGCTGCTGCTCGTTGCAGCGTCTTGATGAACCTCCCGCCCAGATCGTCATCGCATAGTGCATGTTTAAAGCTTGTATTCAACACTCGTTGCTCCCTTCCTCCGCATCTTTTCCGTTCAGCCCAGAACCTGCATCGACGAACACCGGGCCAAGATCATGCATCGATGAACCAAGACCTGCTTGCGTACTGTTACTGCAACCCGAACCACCGTGTTGCACCACATCTGTCGTACTGCTGTTGAAAGAAAAAATAAAAAAAACGAAAAGAAAATTCAAAAAAAAAAAAACAAAAAAAGGAGACAAATTGGTTGTTTGTTTGGGCGCAGGACGAAGGAAAGAATGGTTAATTTGGTTGCTTTTGACTGAGGTCCACGTGGGCCTACTGTTTTCTCGTTTGCACTTGTTGATTGAAGTTGATGTCGGCCTGGTTCGATTGGGGCTCACATAGTTGATGTAAGGATGGTTATTGTTGAGCTTGTATTGGAACTCCTAGTTGCCCACTTTACTCGAATGCTTGGACTGATGACCACTTGAGTGACGTTGTGTACCTGATTATTAGTTGAATCGTTTGTTGGAATCTGCTTGCTTGCCAAATGGTTGAATGCTGGAATTGCTTGATTGCTTGATTGCTTGTCTGCTTGCTTGCTTGTTCGCTCGAAGTACTCATTTGAATCGCTTGTCCGCCTAATAGAACTTGTCTTGTCGTGTTCGCCTAAGGAGCTTGCCTTGTCGTGTTTGCCTAAGGAGGTTGCCTTGTGTCCTCCTAACAGAGCTTGCATCTGCATCTGCATCTGCTTGTTGGCAACCTCATGACGTGCACCACCATAAATTTGACGGGGGTGTTGGAATTTATTAGATTTATTTAGGAAATTAATTAGAGATTTGATTTGATTTTGTAGCATGTTTGGCATTTACACATTAGGGTCTCTTAGGTTTATTTCACTATAAATAGAGCTTGTAATTTAGTTTAAGAACAAGTTAGTCAAGATGTAGTCAATTTGAGTTATGTAGCCGTCTCGGCATTTTATAAAAAGTATTCTTAGTTTTATATTGTTGGTCTTTGACTTTCGACTACCTGGTACGAAGAGAGAATTGAAATTTGTGGGTAATTATACTTGTTGGTTTCTATGAATTTTATGAAGGTTTATTAGCCAAAATGATTATTGAGATTTGCATAACTCCTTACTTTGGTTTATGAGATTTGCCTAAAAAACCTTTTATTAAATAGCAATTTTTAAAAAATTAGAAAATAAGTAACAAAAGGTCAATTTGTCACACTTATGCCCATGGACAAGCTAAGCTTCACTGTACTATCGGTTTAATTTTGAGGATATATAGGTCACTTTATTTGTATTTTTGTTATCGTTTAACTTCTTCTAAGTCCAACTCCGATTCCTACTCAAATAATTAATTTGACACGATGTTTAACTCTATAAGAAGAATCTTGACGAGTTCTTACAAAAAAAGAGATTACTTGGGCCCAATTAAATGGCTTATGTTGGAGGAACACAGTGGTCGGATATTTCCCGATAGGAGCTTGCGTCCAAAACAACAAATACAATGCAGTTTATGAGAACAAGTCACGCGCGGTGAATTGTCGTCAGGCATTTCCCAGTGAGTCTTGAAACGACGACTCACTTTAGGTAAGTTTGTAAGGTTATAGTTTCTTTCACATAGCAAAAAATGTGTAATGCATGAAACGTGTATATATATATATGTATATATATGTATGTATGTATATGTATGTATGTATATGTATGTATGTATATGTATGTATATATATGTATGTATGTATTGGAAAGTAAATGTAAATGTAGGGGAGTTCATGCATTCATGGTTATGTTTTCATGCTTGATGGTCGTTTCCAATATCTTCATTTATTTTAAACATACTCAATTGACAAAAACGATAAAAACCTTTGAATTAGTAGAAGATCCTTCTCGGAAAATCGAAATTGCATCTCCAATGCGTTGTATCACGTTCAACAAAAAAAAAATTAAATTGAATCAACAACATGTAGGTTAATTTAATAAATAGTAAAATTAATCATAAAAAGAATGATTAAAAACGTAATACTCCGCTGATTGAAGATCAAACTACCTTTAACATAGCGTCAAGTGTGTGTTCATAATGTGATGTAGGCCTAAGTTACTGAATTATTACAAAGGACAAGGAGGAGGTGCAACAACAGTAGAGAGAAAGAAAGAGATGTGTAATTGTAAGGTGTGTGTTATTCCACTCCATTGTGCCTTTATTTATAGTAGTAGAGAAGGTAAATTCCTTACCCCAAAAGATATAGCAGAATCCAATAAGGACATCCAAGATATGATAGAATTTACATAATCACATTCCTAATCTAATAGGACTGCAACAAGATTTAGATTCATGTCCCTTAAAAAAAATATTTAGATACTTTTCTTTAAGTGGTGGTATTCATATTCAGTTGTAACTAAGGGCTCACATGGATGTGATAATATATAAAAATTTGTGTTGAGTTTGAAATTTAGTTATAGTTAATCCATTGTGCTGCTTGGTAAAATCATATCCCCTTAGACTAACTCCAACCCTGGGCTAAAAGCCAAAATTTTAGCCCAAATTTCCCCCCAAACACCCCCCAACCCAAGCTAAAATATTGGGCTAAAAGGGGAATGCTAAAGTTGGGCCAAATTCCCCCCCCCCCAGCCACGTGGACTCGCCCAGTTTTGGGCCACTCTCGGCCCGTGGACTCGCGCACGCGCCCCACGCCCCCAACTTGCAACCGGAGCCCGACAGGAAGGGGGCCCAGCTTCAGGCCTTGTCAGCCACTCATCCGAGCCCAACGGCTCTTTTCAAAATCAGACGAGCAGCATTTAAGGACCGTTGGTTGATCCAACGGTTGAGATTGAATATACTCAAATCTAACGGTAAAAAAAAAGATCTAACGGCCCAAATTTAAATCCAACGACTAAAATAATTAAATAAATTTATTTAACACAAAATTTATCCAAAAACTCTATAAATACCTATGTATTTGTTCAAACATCCACACAAAATTCAATTTTCTCCTACAATTCTTCCAATATCTTTCTATCATTTCTTTCCATTTCCAAATTGTTCAACATGGCAAGAGAGCATGTTAGAGGTCGTAATTGGACCTTTGAGGAAGATGTTTCTTTATGCTTAGCATGGGTTTCTGTTAGTGAAGATGGTGCAGTTGGCACAAATCAAAATAAAAAGGTTTTGTGGGATAAAATCATTGCAAAGTTTCAAGAAAACTGCAACGGCAGCGGGCGAGACTGTGGTGGTGTTTATGATCAGTGGAAGACTATCAACAAAGCATGCACTTTATGGAAGGGAAGCTTAGAGAGAGCCATGGTTGGCATGCCTAGTGGAAGGAGCGCCATAGAAATTGTGAGTTTTTTTTCTTGATATTTTATTTGTCATGTACATAATATTATTTTGCAACTAATTATTTTTATGTATTTTTTGCATAGGGTGACAAAGCAATGGAAATTTACAAGACAAGAGTAACACCAAAAAATCAAGTTTTTAAGTTGCAACATGCTTGGGACGTCCTCAAGGATTGTCCAAGGTGGGCAACCGATGCAGACCAACAATGGGGAAGATTATTTCAACATGAAGCCACACCGAGAAATGAAGGTGGCGATAAAGGTGTCGATGAAATGACCCCATCTCCTTCTTTAGCAAGGCCCCCGGGAAGAGATAAGCAAAAGGAAGCAAAGAGAAAAGGGAAGTCCCAAGATTTGACGAGTGGAGACTTGCTACCGGAATTGCAAAATTGCACGAAACTCATAGTGCTCGCCAAGAAGAAGCGGCCCGATTGCGTTTGCAAATGAAGGAAATCTCGGATAGGGAGGAAAATAGGTTTGAAATTGAATTCAT